CTCCCAATTTTCGAGATCGTTCAACCTGGTTCATAACCTATATTCAGACGCTATCGCTCCAGGATTGAAACAGTCCAGAAGAGCATGCTGCAAACACCGCTTTCTCGACGCAATCGAGCCATGACCGTCTTTCGCACGTCCGGCGCACATGACGGCCGAGAGCCAAAATTGCAAAACTTCCGGAGCCCTCTCTTGCGGCTTTTACGTATGCCAGCGGCAGCTGAAAGCCAAGAGTCACGAAGTATACGGCACATGCCAAACCTGTCTCAAGGAAGCAACCATCTGAAGAAGTTGCTCTGAGAAACATTCTCCTTCTCCATTTAGGCTAACGAGGCTGTCAGAAAAGTAAGGGCGCTTGCTTACGATTTTTTTTCCCAAATCAAATCAGAAAGCAACAGTAAGTATGTAAATTTGCATAGGAATCACCGAGTCGGCGTGACAAGACAGATGCTGAGCAATCTTCGAAGATTGTGCTTAACCGCCAGCCACCTAAGTATCGAATAATGGATTTGAATAGCAAGATGTCAGTCTTAGTACTAAGTCCTGATGTCTTTTACATTAAGGATCTAAACTGAGATGCAGCCGTATTCGATATACATACCGAAGACAGAAAAAACTAAGAAGAGGAAGACGAGACTTCTCACAGAGTATGATAATCTAATCTCCTCAGACGACCAAGTAACTCAAAATATACGACATCGGCATCACTACTTTACTCACGAGCACTTCTCAGAGGTGCCGACTTTCATATCAGAATTTGTCACAGTCGACTACGGATTCTCTTTAGAACACGAATATCACATCAAGTTCTGGGAGAGAAAAGGCCGGGCAAGTGCCCAGCCACAAGCGGCCAGCCGCCACTACATGCGATTAGTGTGTCGTCTCTTGGCGCAGGCACTGCACTCTATATCGCCAGAAATTAATGAATATTCATGTTGAATGAATCAAACTGACTGCTGTCGACCAAGTTTCCAGCCTGTATCGGTGAATCGAAATGTGCCTGTTGACACTGTCAGTTGCTGCCGTGGCGTCAAGACGGTTTCGACGCTTTTCACTAAATATATCAGGGTTTCATTTTCATACTGCCCTGAAGCTGGTGGAGTCAATTCTCTACGATCCTCATTTACTTATACATCATAGAGGTGTACCGTCACGCCGCGGAGAGCACAGACCGGCTCGCGCATAGGCGAAGTTGAGTCGGCATGAGAGGTAATTTACTGCGCGATAAGTTTAATCGATAAGCCTGTTATGAGGAATCATCGACGATGTTCACCCTGCCTGAAAAGGCAAACTTATCTGCCACATCCACGGTCATCAAAAAATTTTGAATAATATGCTGCCTCAGATTTTGAGATAGTGCTGTAGGTAAATGGTGATATATAAGTCCGATTCATCTATATAAATGAATTCGATTCAGAATGTAAGAAGTAGATGTCAAAGAAGAGAGAGAAGCTTCGTGAGGAAATTTGGCGTGTTAAACCAACGTCTGATGAGCTGAAAGAACGGCATCTTCTGAAGACAAAGAGACGTTAGGTATTTTTAAGTAAAATGTCACAACACTCGAGCCAGGACACCTCGCCTTAGTTTCTGACCTTATTTCCTCATCTTTTCATATATTCGAAGCACCCTGCAGTTTTTTGACAGTCGTTAACTAGGGTCACGCATTTCCATTTCGTGATCAGCCGTACTTTGTGAGGAAACGGCCTGAGGTATGCGGCGGATATTCGGTAAGATGAAGGGGCTAGTCTAGCTGAGTGTTTCAATTGAATGAAGTTGTGCATATAGGCCCATATGCTGTGATGGAGCCAAATGAAGATAAACATTCACCTGTCACTGATACTCAAGATTTAACCGTACGCTAATAGTTGACTCATTTTGAGAATTAATGTGAATTTTCAAATGTGCGTATAGAGCAGCCTGCTGCTTTCATTCCACACTGTTTCAGAAGAGCGCAATTTCAGAATAACACTCTCGAATCCACACGAACGCGAAGACCTGCCTGAGACGGGAGGGCATATATCGCAGAAGATCTCACTACACCAGATCCGAGTTTTCTGGTACGATCATCATGAAATAATTTATACTATCCTCGCGTAATAAAACCCGCGCCAATATCCACGTAAAAACACCATGATGGCCATCTTACTTACATCAGAGAAACCGTAACTTGTCACGTGTAGGGTGATTCGATATGTGTTTTACGACAGCCTGGCCACATGACAGCAGGGCGTGACACGTTGGCGCCAGTTTGCTCACCGAAGTCACGACCCTTGTTTCACCAATAATCAGTTTAAATTGTTTATGGTTCTTCTATGCCCTGCTTACAAAATACACATTCATATTTGGCATTGCTTGATTCAACGCATATTCTCGCTTGGAGAGAGAGAGTAGAAAATAGGCGCCAATAGCCCGACGCTAGTATGAATGCCATAATCCTAACGGGAAACAAAAAGATCCTAGAAGGGGAACGTCACCCAAAATTAATCGTGAAAAGTACCTTCCACCCTTCAATATTTTCAAGTTCAATTTTGACCCTTTCAATGTTGTTTCTCGTTGTATATTTTCGATGCGACGAATCATGAACAAATGGATATCAACAGTGGACTAAATTTCGAGCATGTGATGAGCTTATGTGAATTTTAGCTGTGTAAGAAATGCGTAAGAATTTTAGGGTGTCATTCCGTTTCGAATACTAGTTTGACTGCATACATGTCGAAAATTTCATATTATATTTCCAATAATACTTAATTTCGGTGCTATCCATTCGCGTTAGAACTATTGCATTCCGTATAGCTGCGTTCAGCCACCTGATTCCCGCGAATCGCTGCTCGCCTCAGAACCAACTTCCCGTCTTCGATATTAAGCACAAACCAACTTGATTGCCATATTAACAATTCCCCTTTTACGAGAAGAATTCGAGGATGAATGGAGACCTCGCAACTTCAGTTGACGTTAATTTTGTTAACATTAATTTAATGTTAACGGCCGTATGCTGATAGCTGCGGGAGGGATGTGATGCGCGGAAAGTTGGGAGTTCGTCGCAGCGCCTCACTGGGCACCCGGCGCACTTTGATTTTGTAGCTTTTTTTCATTACTTTTCATTGCGTTTTTTAGCAATATCGACGAGCCGAATAGACAATCAGGAACAGCTTAAAATAAACTTGAAAACGAAGCTGTCCAAATCAACAGGTGCGACCGTTTGTCAAACTCGGGTCCTGCGACGAACCTCTCCAACCGTTTCCACATCCCCTCCCCACTCCCCAACATTTCAGCAGTCGGCCATCGATTATGCCTCGAGAACTTATGCGAACTGCCAATTGAATTATTGATCTAATCTAATTAGTTCGTCCAACATTTGCTGTTCAGTTACCCCGTGAACCTATCAATTACTCATTTTGTTGGGACACTGCAAAGTTGCAATTAATAAGAAAGGAACTGATGTATTTGGCGAACAAACTGAAAGGACATTGGTCGAAGTTCTCATATTTGCAGCACTGGATTAGCCTTACTTTTCGGCTCGTTCTTTTCGGCCAAGATAAGATAAAGACTAAAGCATTGCCGTTGATCGATCCCTCTTGGCGTGCGGCATGCAATCTACTTCTTTTGTAAATTAGTGGGTGAATGCGATGCTGGGTTCTAACAATGACTTGCGGTGCATCTCGATGTTAAAGTCAAGTGCTTTTTTATCTCGTTAGACAAAGCTGGTTAAACCGCCGGAACGGTGGAATATTTACGTGGCCCGGGCGGCCCAGACCCAGACTTTATCCCCGGATGCTCTTGAGTAAGCGCGCCACTTGCTACTACACCACTTCCCGCTATTCTCATCTTGATATCATAAAATCTGAAACCGATCTTTTAATTGGACCCAACATCTCCAGAGGACTTTTTATGCCCTAGAAAACCTTTCCTATTTATCAATCGATTATGCAACAGGCTCCACGCGTTTGTGGTTCGTATCTATGTGGCCGAATGCGACAAAATAAAATGCATCAGCTAAAATTTAATCTGAACACGGAGACCATATTTACTTTATCCACCCAATCTAATCTACAGGAATCAAATTTGCAGGAGTCCAGAAGGGGGTAGGCTCCTAATTCGGCCACGCATTTCTTCCCTTGATGATGTTCGCTTCTCGACAGTGAATCAAAGTATAACTGAACGATGCTGACACTTTGTCACCTCCAGTGCGTAGGAGTTAAGCCGGCGTTTCGGACTTCATAATCCATGCGATCAATGGGAACGAGTTACACGCCAGCCTTCAGAGAACCACACGAGCGACTGACGCGGGAACATGAGAATAGTGCCGGTCACAGCGCACGTGAGGCCAGTTCCCGCCTCGTCCTGGTGCATTTTCTTGTCTCCGGAATTCGCTTGAATATCGCAAAGGATCTGACACATACCTACGCACACTGTGAAGTCGATATGTTGCGAAGTGCACTTAATCAAAACATGTTCGCAACATTTAATCCGTTCCTTGACTTGTACACAGGGCGACTCGTCTCGCCTGGACAGAAACGATTTCTCAGGATGGTTTCCTAGCTTCCACCGTAGGCGCGTCGCGGTGGGGCGCGCTTTGCGACATGTTATGGCATTGTTTTCGCCGTTTCCTCAGCTGTCTCGCTCTGCGTGACCCTTCGACCCTTTGACCCCTGATAGGGGGTCGTTTTGTCCCCCCGTATCAGCAGGCTGGCTATAAATAGCCGAAAAGCCACTGATACGGGGCATTTGTACGACCACAATAAATATTACAAAGCCACCGATTGCAATCACATATATACAAGCCAAAAGGCTTAAAAAGAATAAGGTAAAATACCCTAAGCAAACTTTACTCCCGAACAGGGACATTTTGGTGCATCGGCCAAATAGCCAAAAAATTTCCTGTTTCACCGGCTAAACCCCTGGAAACTAGGAACGTACTACAACCCTGTCTTCGGCAAATACCAAAGATCAGGAACGCAATTAAAGCAAAAAGAAGCAAATAAACATAGAAAAAGTTTAGAATGTCGCTGATTTTCCACAAAAAACCTATTGGATTCAGCGCAAAAACGCTTAACACTCTTCTAGACAAATACAGCTCGTACGCAGAGGAAATAAAACCCATAGGCGACGATCGCTCACAGTACGAAGAGTACTCATCCGCAGCGAACTTGATCGCTGGCGGAATAAAAATCATAAAATCTAGCAGAGATTCTCTGCAAGCTCTCGTCGACAAGTTAGAAAAGGAGTTCGACGATGCAAAATCCAAAGGTAACAAAAAAGACCTTATCAGTGAGATAGAAGACATAGACACAGAGTGCAAATTCACTGAGAAAATAGCGCGCGCCAACGAAATGATTTACGTATTGGAAGCACGCTTGACAGAAAGCAGAAATAAACTGCAAAACCTCGCACAAAAGCTGGGTGTAGACCCAAATAAAAATGAAACAGCACAGCGCAGCAGCGCTAGCACAAAAAAGGAGTCTACAGCAGAGCCCGAAATTGACGGTGACTCTGCTTGGCTATCAGAAGACTTGTCGAATGACGCTCCAATTGACATGGAAGATGCAATATGTCGCACGTTGAAACCTAGTCAGCTAAAAATGCCTAGGTTTTACGGTGACGAGGAGGAATTCCCAGAATACTGGGCAGTTTTTCGAACTCTAGTGCACGACAACAAAGTGTTGAGTACAGTAGAAAAAATGCTGCTTCTGAAGGACAGCCTACGCGGAAAGGCCGAAGTGGCCGTAAAAGGCATCCAGTTGATTCCAAAGAATTACAACTGGATGATTGAAGCTCTGGAGAAAAAGTATGGTAACAAACCCATAAACAGAGCAAAAATAGTGCAACGCTTAATTGATATGCGTCCAGCAGCAAACAATGCGGACGCCTGCAACAATGTTTTCGACAAAATTAGAATGCTAATAAACCAAATGGTATCAGCAGGTCAAGATATTCGCATTGCACAGGACGCGTTATGGACAGAGAAAATACTCGAGAAGTTTCCATATAGCATAGTAAAAAACGTCCTCATTGCTACCCAAAGCAAAGATGAAGTCAAAATAGAAGACATAATGAACGAACTAGAGAAAGAGATAGAAGCGAAGAAATACGTGGAATCAAGGTTGCGTAATTTCCCAAAATACGACAACAATGGAAAGAAGGACAGAACCTTCAGAGAACAGTCTCCTAAGGACTCGAAGGGGTGCGTGTTCTGCAAAAATAGCAACCACACGTCAAATTCCTGCAGAACTGTGGTAGGAATTAACGAAAAAAGGGACATCTTGAAAAAAGAGCAACTTTGTTGGAAATGTTTTGCTGACAGCCACAAAAGTAGCGATTGTCCCAAACAAAATTGTTCGCGCTGCAAACAAATGCACGACGTCAGCGTATGTTTCGCGAACGGTCCCGCACAAAAAGGGAACTCTCCAAACTACCCAAATAGGCAACAATCAGGTTTTCAGCCTAGAAACAATGGTCCACCAGAGCCAAAAGTTCCCTACCAAAATAGAGGCGAAAGACAGCCGTGGAATGGTAATAATTCCAGTGATGCTCGGAATAACAGACCTTGGCAAGGGAGAACAACAGCCAACAACGCCTGCGTCAATTCCGACAACCCAGATAATCATTCTACTAAACCCAAAGAACAAATCGTGCTAATGACAGCCGCAGGTAGCGTTTGGAATTACAGAACAGACCAATTCGAAAAAGTGCTGTTCTTCTTCGACACAGGAGCTCAAAAAACGCTCATAAGGGAGCAAACGGCACACGACCTAGCACTTCCTAAACAATCTACGGAGATGTGTGCCATGTCTGGAATTGGTGGACACACAGAAAAGTTCCAAAGCAGTATGGTTACACTTAAAGTACTTACCGCTTATGGCGTAGAAATTGACATGAAAATGCAAACAAAACCCGTAATTACCAACGGATTTTCATCGGTAAAACTATCAAAAGAGGACAAGCACTTCCTAGCCCTCAATGAGCTTTGCGTATGCAATCCGTCAATTCGAGGAGAACATCAAAACCCTCAAATTCTTGTCGGACTAGACCTATATTACCAATTGGTCCCTCCAAACAGCAAACTCCTGCAGTTGCCCTCTGGATTGCATATTGCAAAAACAATCTTCGGCCCCAGTATTCATGGCCGCGGCCTCTTAACAGCGGAGTTAGGCGAAAACAACCGTATCAGTCATGAATACGGTACCGTGTTTGCAGAACGGTCAGCAAACATAGCGACGAACCACAGTCGCAATACTATGTCTAACGACCTGAACGACTACCGAGTGATGCAACAGTTGACCGTTATCAATGAGCCTACCGAAGCCGAACTGCTCAACAAACTGTTTGAGTTGCAAGGTCTAGGAATCTCACCCGAAGAGTTGATAAGGGAAGAGACCACATTCTCATACTTTCAAAAGTATTCAAAAGGAATACAAATCGATATGGGAATAGTCACTGCTCCACTACCATTGAAGGACAACGTTATCGATCTCTCAGATAACTATGCAGTTGCCTTTCGCCGATTAATTTCGTTATGGAAGCATCTCCAAACCAATAAAGAGCAACTCAAAAAGTACGTACAAACATTCGAAGAGTACATTTCCACAAATGTGGTTGAATACGCATGTGAAGACAATACCAAAAGCGTCGGCTGTTACTATATGCCCCATTCAGGTGTATGGCGCCCCTCTAAACCTAAGCCACTTCGCATAGTGTTCGATGCATCGTCCAAACGATGCGGCCAACTTTCACTGAATGATGTTATTTACACGGGAGAATCGTTCGTGAACTAAAATCCACGACATCCTTACAGCAAGCCGGACAGGAAAAATAATACTGCTGTGCGATATTCAAGCAGCATTTACTCAAATAAGACTGCAAGAAGAACACAAAGATCTCTGCAGATTCTTATGGTTCAAAAACGCAAACAAGTCACCGACACGTGACAATATAGTGGAGTACCGCTTCACGCGTTTACCTTTCGGCCTAACGGCATCTCCTAGCATTCTGAATATGGTTATCCTAGCATATTTGAACCACAAAAATACAGACATAGCTAAGGAAATTATAGAACACTTGTACGTAGACAACATTCTTCTTCAAGCTGACACGGTGGAAGAAGCACTCCAAAAATACAAGGATTCCAAAGCGATCTTTGCGGAGATAGGCATGAACTTGCGTGAATACATATCAAATTCAAGCGAAGTAAATGCTGCCATCCCAGAACAAGATCGTCTAGAAGGAACAGAAATAAAACTCTTGGGAGTACAGTACAACACTGAAACTGACGAGTTCCAAACGAGCACTCGAATAGTGCAAAAAGATAGACTGACAAAACGAGACATCGTTAGCCAGTTGAATTCAATATATGACCCAATCGGGCTCACAGGGCCACTACTCGTGAAAACTGAAGTCTCTGATGAGGGAAATATATGATACGGCCACAAAATGGAACGAACCTATTTCTTCCGATCTTAGCCGTAGATGGAATAAAGCTTGTCATGAGGTCAATAACGTATCAATCAAAATTCCGAGGCCTATAGCCGACGCCGACCAAAAAGACAAAAAGTATACTTTGTGGGTATTCTGCGACGCAAGCAAAATAGCTATGGCAGCATGCACATATTTACAAAACAATGCTACTTATGCAATTTCTCAGCTAATTAGTGGAAAGACGCGTTTGACGCCAAAAAAGACGGTTCAAACAATACCAAGATTAGAACTGCTTGCAGTCCTGGTTGGCATAACACTAGCAAGAACGCTGAAAAACAAATTGAAAGTGAACATTTCGTCTGTCAGCATTGCTAGTGATAGCGAAATCGCATTGGCATGGATAAAATCAACGCGAAAACTGCCTCCCTTTTGTCACAAATCAAAAAAGGCGAATCTTAGAGATGAAACAATCGATAGAAGAAGCAAAAAAGGTAGTCGTTAATTTCTTCTACGTGCCCACGAGTTACAACCCTGCGGACGCTGGGACAAGAGGACTCACAGCACACACAATTGCAAATCACGATTGGGTGAGAGGCCCTCGATGGCTCGAAACTGACCCAAGAAACTCTCCATTGAAAAGCATAGAAAATATCAAGGAGTCCGCTGACACGGAAAATGTGGAAGAGATAATCCAACCCATCATGGTTATTTCACATCCTGTCGTAGCGATTCCTAATACACCGCTAATCGACCCAACGCGGTTTTCAAGGTACAAACGAGTACTACGCACCCTAGCAATTGTTGGTAAAACGCTTTCAAGATGGATATATCGATGTAACTTAAAAAGGTCAACTTCCATTACAACGGTAATCTCAAAAACTTTCTGACGAAGTAGAATCTGCTCAGATGACATAGCGATTGCAGAAAAGATGCTATTTGCCTCAGAACACCGCGGCATAAGCATAGAGGAGCTGCGAAAGCGCTTCCCCCATATAAACATAATTCGGGATAAGAATGAAGTGATTCGATTAGAATCCGAGAATTCGCAATGCCAATTTACCTTACGATACCAGATCGCCTATTTATATTCCTAACAATTCGGATCTAGCTCGCCTGATAATAGCGCACACACATCGTGAAACGCTCACAGCGGCCAAGATCACATGCTGGCATTAATTCGGCAACGATACTGGATCCTCTCAACCTCAAGAGCAATAAAGAAAATCTTGAAAAACTGTGCAATCTGCAAACGATATCACGGACTTCCGTTTGAGCACCTGATATGCCACCATTACCAAAAGACAGAGTGGTAATAGCAAAACCATTTCAGAACGTTGGCTGCGACTTCTTGGTCCGTTCGACTCAAAAGAACAGACAAAAATGTATGTATGCTTATACACTGTCTAACCACGAGAGCGGTCCACTTAGAAGTCGTCGAAAACATGACAGCAATTGCCTTTCTGAACAGTTTTTGTTCGGTTGTGTCAAGAAGAGGTGTACCAAAATTGATACGCACCGACTGCGGAACAAATTTCAAGCTTGGGCAAATAGTCCTCGACAACCTATTCAAAAACAATGACACAGATGGTTGCTCTATAATGTCCTATAGTTCTCTGAAGGCATAAAATGGATTTTCAATCCCCAAGCGCCCCATGGATGGGTGGTGTTTGGGACGATTGTAGGAACAGTTAAACGATGTTTTCCAAAGCCATTGGTCGCAAAAAACTGTCATTCACCGAAATGACCACTGCCATAACTCGAATTGAACAATATATAAACACTAGACCGCTCACTAAGGTCAGTCTGACGGATCTGAATGAAATACCGTTGAGACCGATTGATTTCCTACAAGGGAATTTGAAGTTTGCCCTACCAAGTGCGAACCAGAATGTTGACAATTCCGACCATGATTTTGATCCACAACTCATTCAATCGGTATCGCAGGCAAAACAAGCAATCGAATATTCTGAAGCGATTGCGGCCAAGTTCTGGGAAAGTGGAACACAGAATACCTTACAGCTATACGTGACAGCCACACGAAGAACCTGAATCAACCCAGACACGTCTCCAAGTATCCACACTAGGAGAAGTGTGATCGTAGAACAAGAGTACCTTCCTAGAGGAAACTGGTTCTATGGGAAAATAATAGAACTTATCAAGAGCGCTGATGGCATGATAAGATCGGCAAAAATACGAATGCCAAATTACACTGTTTTACATAGACCGTTAAACAAAATATATCCTCTCGAAATTCGTTCCTTTGACGAAACATTAGAGGAGAGTCTAGTAGAAACCAACGATCTACAGCCTCGATTAGAAGAAGAACACAACGAAGAAGAAGCAACTAGCGCAATAGAACCATCAAACCCATTGCAAATTCCTCGTATTAGTCGAGAAAGAGCCTCAAAAACTAGAGCGTACGAGGTTATACAAAATTTCGAAAGGCACCTAGACGGCCACTTTTTCCACACCAACACTTACTGCTCGATGTGGACAATACTCACTATTCTTCTATGTGCAGTAAGCACAGGGTCGGCTAATAACAGTCTCATGTGCGCAGATGGCTCGGCAATTGTCGATATTCAAAAAACAAGCTTTGAACTCTGCTTCAACAGAGAATGCAGGACATTCATAAGTTTGTCAAAGAAGCTCATCCTCAAAATACCAGCTTCTCCCCTGCACAAACTCGCTACGGTATCAACTCGGATTCTAAAGAATAATTTCACCGAAACCATAGAATGTCCCCCCACCGAATTTTGCGAATATGCGAGTCAATTGATGACAAGCTCTTTGATAGGTAACCCACACTGCTGGCCTACGGGAGCTATAGCTTCTATGGCCATAATAGTGTACGCATTGGGAACTATCATACTGTTAATTGCGAAAGCGATAAGCCACTTTGTGCCAAAAACAAAAAACACCACGCACTCGGCTCAAGAAATCGTGGTCATGAACACATTTAATCCAAGACCATTGAATGTCTCAACAACAGTAACAACAATGTTAGTAATACTAGCTATGCTGAGCAGTTCGCAAGCCTGCCAACACGGACATATGAGACATTCCGTAGACGTAATATGCAACAATGCAGGAAACTGCTCCTACGAATATAACCAGGAGGTACTATTCAATCACATCCAATCGGAACTCTGTATCAATGCCAGGTACGAGAACAAAACAATTGGGGTGATCAAAATCCGTCAAAAACCTCTGAAGCTAGTCTGCTCCAAAGTCCTTCAATTTTTCACACGGGACACCAAACACAAAATATTTCATACTACAAGATGCGCAGAAGCAGGGTCATGTTCAAACAACCGCTGCAATACCTTGAAACCCTACCAAATTATAAAGGAATTGCAAGCTGCGGATAAATATCCAGGGTACTCCGCGTGCGAACATACATGCGGTGGACTACTATGCGGATGTTTCCTGCCTGTGCAGGCATGTTTTCTCATTAGAGTCGCACAAATACCATGTCAAAATCAGTGTCGAAATAGTGAACTGTGAAGAATGGGTACCTCTAATTGAATCGAAGTAGAATTCAAAGTTCATAAACTAAATCAAAACAGACAATTCTCTCTTATGCCATACATCACGCAATCTTACGAAGAAATTTCACTTACTGTGATATCAATACAAAGCAAACACGCCGCTTTTCGATCAAAGATTCGCCATCTCAGAGAAAAGAGCGTTAATAATACCAATAATTTTGATCTACCTGTACAATGCCCGACGGCAATCATGGCAGCAAAAAGCTCTTTAATTGTAGCAATCAAATGCTATGCAATTGCCGAAGCTACAAAACACCACATACTGCCATTGTCAAAACACTCAATAAAAGACATTCGTGCAGAAATAGAAAATAGACTACCTATTATCACGCCATCAATAGAATTTAGTTCGAAGATATGCAGATTTATGCTCACTAACAAGAAGCGAGGTTACACTCGCGATAAGATCGAACGTACTAATCAATAGCGCGGAGTTCATAATTGAACAAAATGCTCCGTGTTGAATTAAGTGCTGTGACTGGACACTACAACTGCCAAGAAGGTGCAGAGGTCACAGCATTTTGCAGTACAGCACTAGAATCCGTTGTGACAATTCAATGCGAAGATATAGCATTCACTGCAGAATGCGATCCTTCCAACAAAACCACTAAAATTGCACTCGAACTGAGAGAATCTCTTATCGCACAAAAATGCTTTGTAATATGCGATAAAAAAGAAATACCATTAGAATTAAATGGTCGATTACACTACCATGTGAGATATTTCTCTACATCCATGTTTGATGAGGACACCACTCAAACGAAAACATGGCCCTCACTCGCTGACTTTCATTTTCCGGACTTGGAACCGGTCGCAAAGATTATTAAAGACAAGTGGAAAGTAACACTGGCAGCAATGGCTGTGACTGCAGCGGCATTAGGGATTACCTACATGTTTGGGCCACTTGCTATAATAATAATGTTGAAAGCAAGTTGCTTAGGAATAAAAATCATAGCGAATATAGCAAAAGACACAACCAAGAGAATCACCCAATGGTTGCGGAGAATACAGCAGTAGGCAATAAACTGTTCCAGCAGACCTCCAGTACACGGGTATCAACTTGTACATTACTGCTATTGTCTCTTGCCTCCACAAGGACGCTATCTATTCGAGTCACCTCAACGCTATAGAAACGTTACGTAACAGAACGCAAATAATCCACTTTGATAAAAAAAACGTGTATAAAAGCAAAGGTTATCAATTATCAGATATCATGACCAACATGTCTGAGTTCCATGCTGCTCTCGCCGAATTAGATCATGAGCAACACCTTTCGCCAGTCGTCAGAGCCATGAAGGTACTCGATGACAAAATAGAGTCACTATTTAATATAGTGACGTCATCGAGCGGCCGATTGGATCGCATTGAAACTGCACTTCAATTACTACTCGACCGCACTGCCCCTAAATGGCAGTGCATATTCTGTCAACCAACTGATGGCGAAGAGCCACATATCTCCAGCCGTTGCCCGAAGTACCCTGACCCCGTCAGCAGGGCACTACAGGCAACTGCATCTGGCTTGTGCACCAGATGCCTGAAAGCGGCGCACCGGACGGATTGCGGCGTCGTGTGCCAAGGGTGCATGATGCCGCACAACTTTCTGCTGTGTCCGTCGAGAGGTCACCAGACGAATGGGCAAGCGACGAATGGCAATGCGGCAAAGAAAAGGAAACATTTCAACTAATTTTATTCATTCGTCACATTTATGCCAACATTCATCGTTGTCAATGTAGGTTATTGCTAAGATGTTTTTTTTTGTGAGGGGGGCGCGCGGAGTGTCTCGCTCTGCGTGACCCTTCGACCTTTTGACCCCTGATAGGGGGTCGTTTGTCCCCCCGTATCAGCAGGCTGGCTATAAATAGCCGAAAAGCCACTGATACGGGGCATTTGTACGACCACAATAAATATTACAAAGCCACCGAATTGCAATCACATAGATATAAGCCAAAAGGCTTAAAAAGAATAAGGTTAAAATACCCTAAGCAAACTTTACTCCCGGACAGGGACAAAAACTATGCCGGAATGAGTGCCTTCGTGGATGCCTGTGGAGATTTGGAATTGACAGAAATCCTCCGGAACTACAGACAGAAGCCGCTGGAGATATTTGAAGAGTTTCCTTTGAAATTTCCATAGCCCTAAACGTTGAAAAGCTTGCAATTAATACGCCTCGATCAAGTAGGATGAACTAGAAGGAATTTCAAGCGTTCAAGCTATCCGTACACTTTTTAGGCTCTATCTCGTCTTGATTTCCACCACTCCTCCATGATTACATTCTCTATTCCATTTGCTACAACATCCCTATGCTTTTCTTATTGATAATCTATTCCTTTTCTTTGTCATGTTTATCATTTGCTGAGCTCGGCTGGTGCTATGCATATACATACAGGGTTTTCCACCCCAATTCGTAAACCTTGCATTCCATTTCGGAAAGTTTGCAGCCCATTTCGTAAACGTTGCAGCCCATTTCGTAAACGTTTCATCCCATTTCGTTAACGTTGCAACCGATTTCGTCGTTCTAACGCCCAATTCGTCATTCTTGCAACCGATTTCGGATACGTTGCAACCGATTTCGTCATTCTAACGCTCAATTCGTCATTCTTGCAATCAATTTCGGATACGTTGCAACCGATTTCGTCATTCTAACGCCCAATTCGTCATTCTTGCAATCAATTTTAGATACGTTGCAACCGATTCGTAAACGTTGCAACCAATTTCGTCAAAGTTCCAGCACATTTCGTAAACTTTGCAATCAATTTCGTCATTTTCACCCCTAATTCGTCATTCTTGCAAGCAATTTCGTAAACCTTGCAATCAATTTCGGCAAAAATAAAAATTTCGCTGAACTTATCCTGCAGGGGTTATCGACGCACCTGACCACGAATGTGACATCCGCTCTTGGCGCTGGCGCCAACTTGGCGCCATTTGGCGCCTGGTCTCGCCGCGACTCATTCCCAGCAAATCCGCTGTAAGCTTGTGTATAGGGGCCAGGGTCAAGCGAGGTGACGAGGAAAATTTGAGACTACGAAACCCCTCCCTCCGCTAGAGGCCAAAGTTCATGAAGCGACCTTCTCCAAAAGCCAAACTATGAAAGGGTTTTTTAATTCTCTCCCAAAACTGTTCATAAAAAAAGTCCTATCTCCTCACCGTCCGCCGAAAAATCCGTTTAAGAAGTACAAAATTGAAAAAGTCAAAGAGTGATCATTATTAATGAGTTTTGTCAACGAGCAAACTACGAAAGGAGCAAAAAATGACAAACTTCCACCAAAAATGGCATACTATGACAACATCTCTTCTTTATTGATTTCCTTCGGGAGACTTATCGAATTTTAGTACTACTCAGAGTTCTCAATTTACACCTCCCCCTTCACTTGAAAGAAGCCTTATACCCGCTTAGGCCGATGTCAAACTTTGCAGATCGCGCGATTAACTAGCGTCCGCGGTAGCGTTGCGGTGCCAGCTAACTGAGTGATCCACTGGCCGCGACGAGACCGCAGACGCTAGCGAATCGCGCGATTCGCAAAGTCTGACATCGGCCTTAGCCAGCTGTGTGCTGACTGATCTTTGGCGTTGACCGTGGAGCAGCTTATATCTACTATTTAAATTTGAACAAATATTCGAATGATTATAACTTTCTTCAAAGAGAACGAATTTTGAATATGAAAGCAGATTTGGGAGTTTTGTGAAAAGCTCTTTTCAAACATTATTATGGAAATTACAAAAATTTATGAGAAAAAAAGTAGATCAATTAGCGAGGAAAATTCATGATGAGCACGAGTTTTTACACTTTCCAAAGTCATAACCTTTTTCATTATCATCAAATCTGAAAAGTTAATGGCGGGCAAATAGAAGATTTTCTCTATCAAACGATTGCTGGACGTCCAGTATTTGAATTAACGGCCACGTCGAGGATTTTTGCAAAGTTAACGAGGAAAAATTCGTGATGAGCGCGAGTTTTTATGCTTCCAAAGCCATAACTCTGTTCAAACACATCCAATCTGAAAAGTTAATACGTCATCATAACTAGAGATTTGCTCTTTACAAAGGTCACCAAAATCGCTAAATACGTTCACTAATCAAAATGGCCACGTCGAGGATTTTGCCCGAGTACCCCGAAGGTACTTTTTTGCTGCATTAGCACTATTCCAACCACTATAGCTCCTTTCAGGGGCGATTACGTACTATAGTGGGAGCAGATTCGAAATCCTCGTGCTTTTCTCGTTTAAAGAGTGTAAAATTGTTCAGGTCTCAACCTTAAACGAGCTCGAGAATTGACGCTGAGGCTTTTTTGTGAATGGTGTATTCCTCTCTTGTAATTTCACATGAACTTTTCAGAATCTCTTTGATTCTTTCTGAATTGGAGATTCTCATCCGGAGCGCCGTAGCTGAAGCGCGCTCAACCACTGTTCCACTCAGGGTGCGCCGTGTGCTTACATCCCTTCGGATTTCATGCGAATATTTTGGATTCTTTAGCGGGTGTGGTGATGAAACACTGAAGTAACTTAGATTAGGCAACGCAGATTTATGTGGGCAGAAATACATTGTTATTGAATCACTGGCTTGCACCGTCTCGATCCTTGATGTTTTCCTCCAACGGTGATGATCCTACTGCATCAATCCGGCCAATCTCTTCGTCACGACGGGCCAATTACGACCCCCTCCCTTCGACCCGTCGAGGACTCCTCACGCAACGCTTGATCCTGATAGGGCTATTTCGAACCCTGGTTACGATATATGATATTAATTCTTGGTGACGACGCACTTGGCCTCTATTTCTTTTTCACTCGCCAGCGCCATCCCATCGGTTATATTTATTTATTTTCTTTATTCTGTGCAGGTTAGGTGCGCTCTACAATTCCATTGATTATTAATGCAAAAAGTTGCAATCAATGAGGTAAACGGTCTAAAGCAAGTAGGAAATCTCGTTGAGGTATCAAAGAAAAAAATCTGAGTCAAGTT